GTAGGGAAATAAATGGTTAGTCTGTGACCTTGGGGTGCAGTCCTGTTGCACTGGTGAAGCTGATTGTAACCCATTGGTTTCAGAGCAGAATGAGAGATCCTTCAAACAAGTGGGGAACACTGCTAACTGGTGGTTGTTTTGGCCAGAATACATTGACTTTAACTAGTTAGTCTGTTAATTGGATGAGTGCTATAGCAAATAGACCAGATAGTTCCCTAGACTTTTTGTTGTCATCCAAACTCAACCAAAACTTCCAATTACAGATCTAGTTTCATTCCTTTAATCCCTCTGTGTCTTCTGTGGATCCCCTCTCTTACTGCTTGTATGTTGGAGGGTATTTTAGTGCCATCCTTCAGGAATCAGCAGCAATGTGAGATATTTAGCAAATAAGCTGTATCTAGTTCATCTCCATTTCAGGTCATTAACGGTTTGGTTTGAGGTTTTGTAGTTTTCTGCCTTTGTTCTCATACCTCACCCTTTCCTGCAGTGGGAGGAGCTCAGAGTGGGGGTTAAACTTGTTTTTTCCAGTAAGAGCAGTGCTGTTTCTGCATTATAAACAGCATGGTTATGATGGAAGAAAGTTTTAGAAGTGGCAGGCTTTAGGGGGGTGTCCAAAGGACCATCTAACTGGAAATGTGTTTCCAGTTCAAACTCCTCAACAGAAAATACGTCCCCTGTTCTCATGGGCTTTTCCATGTCTGTGTGGGTAGTGTGAGAAGCTCAGGTCACGAAGATAAGTCATCCCCTGCACAGGAAACTTTGCCACAACGTACCCAGCACGTTTCTAAATATTATTTTAGAGTAAAGAACATTTGTAAAGCTGTTTCAGTTTCTGTTGTTAAAACAACAGACGAGGCTGAGAGGGTTGGACTTGAAACTGCTCTGTATCAAGACTCATAATTTTCCATGCCATTATGTTGTGCTTCACTTGATAAAAGCTGTTCTGAAAAGTGAAACAAAACTGTTGTGTTTTTTTTTCTTTTTTTAGCTAGCAAAAGTTGGTGTTACAAACACTTATTTCCACCTGTGGTTGTCAGTATTTTTGTGCTCATTGAGGGAGTACTGAAGAAATAAAAGTGTTGTGATGACAAGTGAAATTAAAACAATATCTCATTCAGTTGAGAAGAATGCTAATTGTGTTTCAGTTGTGAATGCAGACAAATAGTCTTAATTTGCACAAAGACCCAAGTGGCCTAAACTGCAGTTTTCTATTAAAAGTATTAAAGAAATATTAAAGAGATAAAACTGGGTTTTTACATTAATTGAGTTTGCTGAAGTTCATGGGAGGGAACGATCAAGAAGAAAGTTTGTGACTTACAGATTGTCTATAAGTGAGTGGGAGAGAGTGGACAGGAAAGCAAAAAGAAAGGAAGCTACTTTCTGCTTTTACCTAAATATCACTGAAAGATTGCATTTGGGGATTTCCATGCTGCACCAATATGTTCACTGTATCTTGCAGTACTTTATTTAATTTTCTTGTGGAAGACTTTTCCGTCTTCTCACTGAGGTCACCTACTTGCTAAGAATTCCGAGGAGGGCTTCAGAGAGTGACAAGAAGACTCTTTAGGGCAGACTTTATTTTTGTCCTTGGTAATCAAGATTCTGGTCAGTGGATGAAGGTGACATTGAACCAGTGTGAGAGGAAAGCCTAGACTTCAGGGGCAGACTTAGAGAAATACAGCCTCTTTATGGAGCTGGCAGACGTAGCTCCTGCCAAGCATATTCTTGGTGGGGAAGTCTTCAGTTGGAGGCAAAGGTCCATAATGGATGCTGGCACCACTTACTTTCTTTTACCTTCTCAAGGGGCATGGTAAGTGGGATGTCCTAGATCAGAGAGTAACTAAAGGGGAGTGAAACTGTTGTCAGTCAGTGGATCTGCAGTAGACATAGTCTGTGTTGCCACTCCCAGGAGTCTGGCTGGAAAGAAGAATCTGACTCAAGATGTCAATCTCATGGCTCTGAGTTTTCCTGTTGTTGTGATCTGTGTGAGCGTGGGAACATGAGATAGAAGAGTGAAATGCCCCTGAGACTGTAAAAAATAGCTCTTACTCAGTGTCTGTCTTAGCAGGCTTTTGCTTGGAGCTGCTCTCCTTGACCTGTTCTTGGTCTGCCTCTGCAGCCACGAGCGATAGCGTTGGTTGAGACATTCACCTCAGACCCTGAACAAGGGTCAGTAAAATTCCTTGCATCTTCTTTGAAACAGCAGTTGGAGGTGGGATGCTGGAATTGCTGGAAGATTGATCTTGAGCCGACGTTGCAAATCTTGTATCACTACCAAGATTTTCTGTGGTTGGAAGTAAAGAAGAAGGGAAAAAAAATTATCTGGTAGGTGTACTAGGGATTATACTCTTACAAGGAAGGCAACATGGTAATAATTTAGCAGAGTCTGATATGTAGCCTTTTGCATTATTTTGTCCATAATATTATAGTTGGAAACTTGGCCATGTTGCAGGTCTAAAATACTTATTATTTCAGGAAGTATAAATTTCCACTTTTTTGATCACTCGTCGTATTGCTCAAACACTTTCCACCTGAAGACGAGAAGCTTCTTGCAAAGTTGTTATTTCAAGTGTCCAGTTGGCTGGAGGAGCCATTCTGATGTTTCAGAATAGATTGTTCAGGAACAGGAACCCTAGTTTTTAAGGACCTTCAAGTCCAGAGAGTGGTGAAACTAACAGCAGTTCAGTAAGTACCCCACAAGTTTTTCACTCCCTCTTGGAGATGATGGAAACTTTTAGCAGGATTGTATCCCCAGACATTTTTTAAAGCATTAAAGAAGTTATCACATTCTCTCTCTTTCTCTTTTTTTTTTTTTTCACTATTCTCTTCATGTAGATAGAGCAGTAACATTTAGTGTTCCACTGCCATTGCATTTTCTGCTTTGGCACACCTCTTTACCCAATCAAATGCAATGTGGCTGTAGAAAGTACAGTATCAGAGTAGGTTCTGGTTTGCTCTATAATTGGAGTAGCCTCTGTCTCCTACTTCATAATCTACAAAATAGGAAAATCCCATTTCTGTGTCAAAATGTAGATGCTAGGGTGAAACAAGGTTTGATCTCAGCTGACATATTTGTTCAAGGGTTAGTTTGGAAGATTTTTTTTTTTTCAAGAAGGACCGAACTAAGGACTTTACAAAAATAGTTGTCGAGGTAAGGAGAGTATTAGCCTGTAGAAGCTAGCAATCAAGGGATGATTTGGGGGCCCAAGGAATCTTCAGATCTTGGAAGCAGCCAGAGTGAGACTAAATGTCTGCAAGTTTCAAGCACACAGGGGCCATGAAGCTGAGCGGAGTGGTATTTGCTTCAGCCAGAACTGGAGAAGGCAGCAGGCTGGAAGTGACATCTGATGAAGAGCTGGTCACGTGCTATTGTGCTAACAGAGCACCAAATAAATATTCACATAAGAGAAGGGAGGCTTGTTCAGAAGACTTTCCTGCACAATAGAAATGAACACTTGTGGAACTGGGGGTCAGCAACAGCTTTTCACGCTTAATTTTGAAGCCGCAGTTGAAAACTGGGCTTGTAGCAAAACCTCATGAATTGTACAGCTGCATATGAAGAATGCTTGAAGGAGCTGGGAATGTTTAGTTTGAGAAAGAGGAGGCTGAGGAGAGACCTCATCAGTCTCTACAACTATCTGAAATGTCATTGTAGAGAGGTTGGTGCTGGTCTCTTCTCACAGGTAATTAGTGACAGAACAAGAGGGAAGGGCCTCAAGCTGCAACAGGGGAGGTTAAGACTGGACATTAGGAAAAACATTTTCACAGAAAGAGTGGTTGAACACTGGAACAGGTTGCCCAGGGAGATGGTGGAGTCACCATCCCTGGATGTGTTTAAGGGTCGTTTGGATGTGGTGTTGGTGGATCTGGTTTAGGGGACAACTTTGTAGAGTAGGGATGGTGGTTGGACTTGGTGATCCCAAGGGTCCTTTCCAACCTGAATGGTTCTGTGATTCTATGATTCTATATATTGTCAACATCCATGGCGTGTGGTATTAGTAAGGGCAAAGCCAAAGCCTATGTGTAGGTGCATGTGCCATCTCCAAGATGGGGTTTGCCTGGACATTAATTGCATCAGCCTTTGGGATTGCTAGCTCTGAGAGCCTTTTGTACCATCTAAGGAAACTATCTGGTGTGTTAATATTACCTTTAATTTGGTAGAACTTGTATCTCCATTGATTTCTATCAAAAACATGATCATAAATGTGCAAGGGTTGAATCTGTTGTGAGCAAGAGTATGATCAGGGCACATGTGGATTGAGTTTGCCAGGCCATGCAGTGAATAGAGGCAAGTTATCCCTGCCTGGGCTCACACAACTGTGGGAGGGATCCAGTTTGCCCTGCTGCAACATCAGGCCTAACCTAGTCATCTGAATATTTTCCATAATTAGAGAGAGAGGGGTGATTCATCCCACCCACTTGGAAAATGGTGACTCATTCTCTAGAAGTGCTGGTGTCTCACTATTGATTATGTAAAGAACCTGAGCAGTGAGCTGGGATCAGATACTTGGTTCCCATGCAGTTTAGGTGAGATAAAACCCTTTCCCTAAGTGGTAAGAGCTCATACCTATGTTCTTCAGAAATCTTTGGTAATTGGTAGCACTGGTGATTAAATCAGAAAACTCATACTGGACTTCCTCACCTCTTTTATTGTAATACTAGATCATTGTTTGGGATTTATGCTGTATAAAAATATTATTTATGCTCATTCTTTTGTTAACTTTTTAGATGTGGACTTCACTGATGTTATGATATGCAAAGCCCTTCCACAGATGAGGAAAAAAGCCCTCTGTAAGTATGATTAGTGTTACTAAACTAAAAATGTATCATCAGGTGAGAAATTAATATTGCAATTTAAATGAACAGTTGAGAACCTGGAGAGCCTTGGAAAATATGCTCTGTAATATATAAATAGAAAGAGTTTTGAAACAAAGAAAATACCTGACCCTATTTTTAACTTCTCAAGGATAGACCCTTTGAACAATGTCAGCAACTCCAGAGACTGTAGCTGAAAACAACTGGAGTTTTAAACCTAACTGTACCTATGTGAATGTCTTAGTTATTATCTAATTAGGTATTTGTAGGATTTGGGGGAAGGGACTGTGGTATCCTGCCTAAATCTCTGCAAGCATGTTCTGAAGGTGTTCTGTCTCATTAGACAGTTATGTTTAATGGACTTACAAACCATTAAACATCACATTACTTAAAGAACACACCAAGAAAAACCTATTGCTGAAAGAAGGGAAAAAATAGCAGAATGGAAGGACTTGGAAACTGGCAAATAATTTTGACAGAAGTTTTGTTTGACCGAATCTTAGGACATTCAATGCTATCTGAGAAAGACTAGTGGTTCACTAGCTACTTAACCACTTGTAGAAAACCAACTGGACACAGTCCAGAGCACCTTTAGGTGACCCTACTTTAGAGCAGGAGGATTGAATTAGATCAACTCCAGAGATCCGTTCCAGCCTCAACTATTCTGTGATTCCGTATGAATTGGAGAATTGTCTGCTTTACTTTTTGGCTGAAATTATATCTGGGGATATATTTGAGGATGGGATGTTCAGAGCTCTCATTTTCTGCTTCTCCCACCCAAGAATTTACTTTTTTCCTATTTGAAATTGGCTTACAACATGTAGTATAAAACTGAGTTCAATCACTAAGGCAAATTATGAGTTCTGAGTAGCAACAGAGTGGCCCATCTGGTGGACACATCCCAAATTCCTTCCTCCCTAGAATGAGCTCCCCATTTAAGATCCTCATTCCAAAGCTCATGTGGATCGCCAGGGTTGTGTTCATTTCAGTTGTCTGAGATGCTTAACTTGCATTTGAATTTTAGATGTCAAGTGAGCTGGTTAAGATGATGTTTGAACTTCCTTTGGAGAGAGGGAGATTCTTTTGAAATCCTCCAGAGGGAGGTGCTGACTTAGGTAAACTTAAGATGCTTAAGCTGGGCATGTTGAATGGGCTTTGTTGGGCATGTTGGGCTTTGTAGGTCTTTGAACAGTTTTAAAATGCCTATTTAAAACACAACTAAAATCTGGGTGTTTTGTTTACTTAGAATCTACCTTGCCCATTGTTAGGTCCCTCAACCTAAGAGGAGTTAGTGTCTGTGTTACTACCTCTCAGGTTTATCAGATTTTGCTCCTGATACCACTTCCCAAATGAGTGGTCATAGTCATAATAGTATGAAACAAGTACAAAAGTTCCATAACTGCAGTGCTAACATAGCTAACAAAAGAAACATTCAAATTTATCAGCCAAACCCAAAGCACCACAATTAACAATGTAAGAAAATTTTCCATAGGCTGTGTACTTCTTTCCTAGCATAATGTGTCACTTTATGGGCATTTGAGGGGAGGAACAACTGTTGTGGATTTCTGTAGACCAGTAAAGTGTAGGGTGAAGGAGAAGCACAGATGTTCCCATGTATCACATTAGCAGCCACCCCCTTTTGCTTTTTCTTTCCATCACCATCCCAGAAGTTCAGCCTTACTCTGGCCCAGTAGGTCTTATTTATAGTTTTTGATGTCCCTTTTGGATGGTAGTAGATCCTGGAATGACACAGTGTGCTGCCACTGGCAATATTTCCTGCCCTTCTGTTCTGCACTCTGCTGACCCATTGTCCTCATCCCTTGTCCTACCTCTGCAGACAGACACCCCATCTGATGAATTTACTTGGTGCTCCCCAGGGATTGTGAAAACCAGGAAACTGCCTTAAGGATGGTTTAATAACTTAGACAAAGGAGAAGAGCAGCTGGTCTGTTACCAAGTCTCTGAACCCCCATTCTCTGACAGAAGAGCCTTTCTTGCATGTGGTGCAGTCTTCAACAATTTGCAGTAAAACACTACAGGTGGACAGTTCATGCAAATTGAGTTATTGTGCACTGGATCTGTCTTTAGCATTTTATTTTAATGACCTGAGGCAATTTTATAGCAGGAGATCTCCTGCAAGTGAAACCAACAGCAGCTGATGGCAGCCTAAAATTTCCGTGTCTGTTTTTTGCTTTCTTCTTTTTGTTTAGTGTGGTAATGTTAGAGGAATAGCAACTGGAGACAACCTGCTCCCTGCTACTCTGTAAGACAAACATCAGCATAGCCAAGCAGCAAGAAAAGAAGGGTTTCTTCATGACAAAATGACAGCAAGAGAACACAGTCCCCGCCACGGTGCAAAATCCCGCACCGTGCAACGGGCGTCCACCATCGATGTCACCTCTGACATGCTGGGCCTGTCTCTGGCAGGTTTGTACCTTCCTGTCAGCCACTGCAGCCTTCTACTAGCATTGCATGTTTCTTTTAATTGCTAGAAGATTCAGATGTGTCTGGTCATCTGGGGGGAACGAGAGAAAGGGATTATAAAAAAAAAAAAAAAAAACAACAATTTAAACTTAATGTTTTTAAAGCTGACAAATCATTAAAGTTGGAGACAGAAGGAAAAAAAAAAGAAGTTAAGCTAGATTTTGTGCAGTTATGTTGATCAGTTAAAAATAAGTAACAGGGGAACCGCAGAATGTCAAGGTCTAGGAGGGATCTTGGCAGCCTCCTTGTTTGACATTGTGTAACATTTTCATAAGAGTTCAGGGAGCTGAGAATTATCTCCCCCATCTTTTATGATGAGTAAATTAGGATTGTAACCCCCAGAGGCTTTCTTTGATTAGTGAGAAAGACAGGGACTTTCAAACTCCTCCCTATTTACTGATCACAGAGGAGATGCATCTGATTTAATAATTTGGAGCTAATAATGACTTATATACTAAGTGGCTTTAATTCTGTTGTTTTCTACTGAGATTGGGTACTTATTCCATATAATCTTGCATAGCTTTACATATTTTAGCATGTTTTCTAAAACGAGATCATCTCAAGCTTTTAAAATAATTTAAGACCAAAGATTATGTCATCAATATTTGTAATTCAAGTCATGGCTCATTGAATTAAAAATATTATTTTCTTCTATAGAATTTAATTTCTTTCTCCATATGACTGCAACTTCAGGAGGGGATTCACATGACAGTAATGTTTGGCTAATCCTGTATTAATTTTTCTGCTTCACAGGAAACATTCAGGATCCAGATGAGCCGATCTTAGAGTTCAGTTTAGGTAGGCTTAGTGATTTCTTTGCTAATTTTGATGATACCTGCTAATGAGTATGTGTGCATTTTTAGTTGTTGATTTTGAAGTGCCTTTCAGATATTTAGCCTCGATTTTTGAGGAGGTGTTGTACAGTTTTCTTGCTGTCTGTACATTATCTTCTGGTAATCAGCCAGCAGGTTTTAATTAAAATAAAAATTAAATTAAAATGTTAAATATTTACTATGTGAATGTTATTTGTAAATGTTTGTTTTGTTTATGCAAAGATACAGGAAACTGCCTTCTGTCTGGAAAGTTTTAGGACAGAATACTTTCTAAGAGTTACCATCTATTAAACTTTTTTTTTCCTCTGGTCTTTGCTGTAATGTGAGATGCAGAAGTGACCTGATTTCTAGGAAGGTTCAATCTGGACAAGAGGCTTGTGCATTGGCTCACCTCACTTATTCTTCAAGTGGAAAATGTTTTCTTATTGAAAATTCAGTCCACATTTTCAACTGCAGCATGGTTTTATTGGTTTAATGCTGGACTAATATTTGGAAGGTTATGCTCTTTACAGTATGTTTGAAATGAAAAACTAAAAAATATTCTCAGATATTTGTAATTGTGTTATGAATAGTAATCTTAACAAGAACTCTCTAGAGCTGAATAAGGTACTTCAAATATTTTCAGATAAATTAAAAACATCTAGAATTTCAAAGCTATTTTCTGTACATATGAACATTTTTCTTGCCCAGGTAAATTTCTGAATTAACTTTCTAGCTGAAGCAGAGTCAAACCATACTGTAGTTACCTATGTCTAGCTAGGATAGAATTTGGCTCTCAATTTTTATGTAATTTCATAGAGTTTCTCCCTGAAATGTTTGAACATTGTTTCCTACTCACCATAGATCCAGTTAAACTCACAAAAACATTTTAGAGGAAATAAATTGCTGTCCTTTTACCAATTGCCAGCTAGTTCTCCTCATAATGCTGCTGGATCAACAGTCAAGCACTTCTTTTGTATCTCCATGGCAAAATGCTGTTTGGTAATGGGCTTAATGGAGCATGACTTCAAACCAAATAGAGCCCTGCTCATGAGATTCCCAGAGGAAAACCTATGCATGTACACTGTTCTAATGAGCTGTGCCAGAGGGGTATGGCAGGTGTTAGAACAAACTTAAATTACAGCTCTGCAGCTTGGAGCCAGGCTGATCTGATTGCACGTTTACTGTTTGCATGCAGAAAGGTGAGTGATGGCTGCCTTGGTAGTGTAGCAATAGAATGTATATTAGGCCCTTGGTGGCTTTATTGTTCAGTGTATATAACATGCTTTAATAAAAATGTAGAGTCTTACAACAGTATGAAAAAGATCCTGAATCTAAATGTATTTGTCTGTTACACACCTCAAGCTTGCAGTGAGCTGCTAACTCCATCACTAGATCGAAAACCAAATAGTTTTGTAGCAGTGAGTGTAACTACACCACCTCAGGCCTTCTGGACCAAGCATGCACAGACCGAGATTATTGAGGTAAGTGGTGAGGTACTCCTGAATCTGATTTAAAATTTAAGCTAACACAAGAACCATTGCTTCCTAACAGGTATCACCTTGCATTCATTTTTGCCTTTTTTTTAAATTTATGATTACAGGGGACAAGTAATCCTATCTTTCTGAGCAGCATTGCCTTTTTCCAAGACTCTCTTATCAATCAAATGACACAAATCAAACTCTCTGTGTACGACGTCAAAGATAGATCTCAGGGAACAGTAAGTTTTCTTTATTCTCTTGCCTCCTCAGTTAGTGTGAAGCAAGGAAATAAGAAGCAAGGAGATAAAATTCATAACTTTTGTGGAAAAGAGCAAAGGGGCTGCAGCATTGATCCTAGAGAAAGCAAGAAGGTTAGAGGAGGGATGGAAAAATGCTTGAGATGGTCTAGGCAGAGTCGGGGGGGAGCATTGCCATTTTTCTCCAATAAGGCTTGGCTGCAGTAAGTTTGGGTAACCACTGATTTGAGTTAAGAGGTCCTGTCACTTGTTCTCTTACATTGTGGACCTCTTCACTGAACTAGATAGTGAATGGGATTCAACACACCTAACTGAGGCATCTAACTTGTGCCAAAATGTTGGGCTTGTTGGGCCCACAATGTCCTTTTGAACAGAGCTGTGAAATTCCTGAAATCAGTCTGCTCTGATCCCTTAGTGGTTTTGTTCAGGAATAAGATTTCTTCCCTTTCTGAAAAAAGTTTGAAGTACCAGCCCTCCCATGTAACTACTTGGTTCTGTGGGCAACTTAGGCAATTTATTCTCAGATTGTTGCCCAGAATACTGATTTAGACCCCACATGTCTGCTTTTTTCATGGCTGTTCCTCTCTGCACAGTCCTTCACAGGGAGGCTCTGGGGCAAAAGGAGTCCCTCCAGAGGAGGAAGTTCTTCAGGAGGACACAAGTTTGGATTGGGGAGAGACTATGAAGTATCAACCTCGTCAGTCTAAGCCCCATTCAGTCTTGTTTTCAGGATTCCTGTATTCCTGGGCATAGGCTTGTATAAAATGAGGTGCCTTCACTCAAATCCTTGGGAAACAAAAGTACTTACTGTCTTCTCTCTGCCAGAAGATGATTTTTTTTAAAGTTACCAATTGTATTAATTTTTTACAGGGTTTTACTTAGTTATTTATGGACATATGTAGTTATATGTTTATTCAGACTTCTGAGCATAATAGTTGTTTTCTGATCTTTATTGTTGTGGATAAAACCTTTGTTCATTGTAAAGGTAAATAAATACAATTTTGTTCCTTATCCTTTTTCAGATGTATTTGTTGGGTTCTGGGATGTTCACTGTAAAAGAACTTCTACAGGAGAAGAATCACAGGTTGCACTTAACACTAAGGTTTGTAATATTCTCCTTTATTTAGGAGATTATTCTTAATTCTTGAAATCATACTTAAGATATGCTAAAAACTGTCTGTGAGATGTGATGAAAACCTTTTGTTGGGTTAATTGTTTTTTCAGTTCCAGCCCAGTACTGAGGAAAAACTATTTTATACTTAATGATAGTTGAAACATGTAGAAAAAGACCTTTCCAATGTGGTGAATACTGTTAGTTGTTTGTTCTAATTCTGCAAGTCAAGAAAGTACTGTCAGGGCCAATTTAATTTTTGTTCACATGAGCCTATCAAGTCAGTGCATCTATCTGTGGAGAGTGGCAAAATAGAGTATTTTTAACTGTGCTGATGTATAAAAAGCCTGTGATAGGGAGAATGAAACCCATGGAAACAGAGGGTTATCTTTTTTTGATACTTAGCTGTTTGGAATACCTTGGCTTAGATAAATCTAAACTCTAGTTACTATTTAGTTATCTGTTGCTGAATTGTGTATTTGTTGCTAAATAGTGTATTGATCAATATAATCACTAGGGATAGGAGGAGTCACATTACATTGATTGATGTAATATTTAGTTTAATTCATATTGGAAACTTTTGTGGAAGCAACATGACTCAGGAGGGAATGAAAAAGGAGGTGTGAGTCTAATACCAATCCTTAAGGTAGTAGTTCTAAACATAGGAGTCAAAAACACTCTTGAAAGCCAGTTTAGGTCAAAGTTGAAGTAGAGGGTTGGGGAAGAAGCAAAGTGAGAGGAAGAAAAAAGTGCTCTGATGTGTACATGTACATTGTAGTAGTATGTGTTGAAACCAGGACAGACATTCCTGTCAGAGAAGGCAAGGGGAAGTCAGCTGAAGGGGGAAAGCATAATCAGAGACCCTGAAGAAGATGCCTTAATCAGCACGACAAACAGTGACTGTGGTAAACTTTCAGAAATTTCTTAGCCCAGACAAAACTAACAAAATACGGGCAAAGCATTTTAAGCTAAGAGAAGTGATGGGTAAGGTTTTCAACTTCTCCACAATGTGTAGTAAAAAAATAATGTACATGATTTAACAGAGGTGAGCAGGTGAGGGAAATGAGTCAGAAAAGGCACTTTGTGCGGTATGACACTGATAGTGGGTAGAGTAGTCAGATTTATCATAGGTGTGAAGATGAGAGTGTTTTGAGGGAGATGAAAAACAGAATGAATGGGGTGACAGAAGTTTTATGGTTGTGAGTTAGACATCATGGTTACTCTGTTAGGTTCATTCTTTCATGACTGAAGTTGAAAATGGACTTTATTATCTCGTTTCAATACCAAGTATATGTTTTCTAGTTATTAAAGTGTGTGCATACATACTTGTCTTTTCAGTGTCATGTTACCCTCAGATGTATAAGCTGGAGGAAGAGCAATGTCTATAAACATGCTGCATTATTTGGATACTTAAACCTTTTCTTGCATCTTGTGTGCATATTTCTTTTGCCTTCCCAGTTTTGTCTGTTCCAGAGACTTTTGTTTGTTTGTTTTAGTTGTCCCAGCATATTTTTACACATAAACAACAATCTTAGAATACCACTTAGAATCTATCTTAAAATAACATAATGTCTCTGCCAAAATTACTGGGTGTCATGAGTGAGACAAAATACATGACAGCCATGGTAGATCTGGGAACTGGTGTATATTTTAAAAACAGCAAGATTAGAGCTTTTACCAGACTTTGTGGAAACCTTTGTAATCTTTTACCAGACTTTGTGTAACCTTTGTAATCTCACCCACTCTCCCCTCAGTCATATGTTCATAGGGTCTCAGGTTCCCTCTCCAGAGGGAAATGGCTGCTGGTCTGGGAAGTGGGACAGAAAGCAGTATGAGTTTATGCTGTGCAGCTGCCCAGCTGTTAGGGGCTTATCTCAGCTGATAGTGGCCATGTCCCTGAGGGTTCCCAGGGTTTATTTCCTCGCAACTTGCTGATCACAGAATCATAGAACCATTCAGGTTGGAAAAGACCCTTGGGATCACCAAGTCCAAACATCATCCCTACTCTACAAAGTTCTCCCCTAAACTATATCCACCAAATCCATCTCCAGGATCTTCTTCCACCTCAGGGATCTTTCCTTCATGAAGATTCTTCATCTTCTTCCCTAGACCAGTTCTTATCAGGATTCTTCTTTTTAGGATCAGCTTTTCTTTCTGACCTTTCAAGCCTCCAGTTTTCCCAATCTAAATAGTCTGCAGAAGCACTAGGCATGATCAGATGGCCTTGACTGACTTCTCTAGTAAGTGGAAGATTTGGGATGTGCTACTTCTGTTTAATCCACATATTATCCAACACAGGCACACACACGTGTGTGTGCACATGCATCCCATTATCTGCTCCCTATTAATGTTCACCATTTAAGCTGCTTTGCTTACAGCAGGCTAATGGTAAAACCTGAACTCTTTCTGGTTTTACAGAAGTGTTGAAACACACACGTGGTTTTAGGTTGCTTTCAATTAGGTGGTCTGTACAGTCTCCCTGCAGAATGAGGGGGCTTTTTCCTGTTAAAATAACACATTATGAAAATATGTAAAACTAAGTCGAAAAGCTTCCTGTTTAAAATGTTCATTAAGTTTGAAGATTAATAGCCTTTTTTAAGTGTTTCCTTGTTGATAAACAGGTCCACCTCCAAAAAAATCTCAACGCAGAGTGTTTGTTGCAGGTCGGCTGAAAGTGACCGTGTAGGTAACATTACAGTTATTGGATGGCAAATGGAGGAAAAAACTGACCAAAGGCCTGCAGTGACAAGGTCACCTGATACAATTAATGGAAGGGTGAGTGTGAGCATTGTATCAAATTCAGAAAAACTCACATTTATTGCCAGCATTGAAATAAGCTAGGTTGATGTCTGCTGTCAACTTTCCTGCCCATCTTGATTTATAGTAGTGCTTTATAAGTTCAAAATACTGTAAAAAGCAGCCTAATGGTGATGAAGTGGCTTTCTATCTTGCAGAGCTCTTGATGCTCATGTTTGGGATTAAGAGTCTCTTACAGTGTGTAGTTTAAACTTCAGCTTCAAGTGCTCATGCTGTTCATCAGAATAGGCTTGCAGTACTGCATGTTGGTTCACTTGGTGCACTGATAACCAGTTTCACAGAGATATGATAACCCAATTCACAGGTGATCTGTGGCATTAAGCAAAGCTGTAGTGGGGATGCTCAGGAAATTTCCAGAATTTTCACAGGCAACCTAAAAGATTTCAATAAAACTGAACAGGTTATTTAAAGACTGGAATTTATTTCTTTTATTTCTGATCCCCAAATATTTGTCTGAGAGCAGATATTTATAGTACTTTCTCAGCCTAGACATATGTTTAATTCTGTAAACTATGTGCCCTGAATATCCTGATGATAACTGCACTCATATCTGTGTATCACAGTTCAATGTTGATAAATATCCTGCCAGACCTGTAGCTGCCACATCTTGGTGCAGTTCCTTTAAGGTGCTACCATCAAGTAGTTGAAGGGCTGGATGATAATTTTTTACAGCATTTTGAACCGCGCAGTAAAAAATACACAAGAACACTGTGATTGTAGGGTGTAAGCTCATTATTTGAGCCTCCAGTAATTTTTGTCCACAGTAAACATATTTGAAATATTTCTTTTAACCACACATTTTGTTGAATATTCCTGTCAAGCCCGTGTAACAGTCATCACTGCATGTTGCCCTGACGCTGAGGTTTTCTCCTTTACTACTGGAGTTTTTTGTTTTTGTTTAGACTGTGTTGCCAGTTGATGAAAGTTTAACAGAATCTTTAGGAATCAGATCCAAATATGCTTCGTTACGGAAAGATGCACTCTTAAAATCAGGTAATCTGCTGTGGGTTGTAACAAGTAAGTTTTAGGCATCGGTAACAGGTAACCTCTTTCTGTCTGCCTGTGAGCCCAGGGTGTTCAAGCAGATGTTTCACTTGAATAGAAACAGGCTGCTGATAGAGCAACCCTTTGAGGACCATACAAGAATAAATGTTTTTATCATCTCTATAGTAAAAACAGCAGAAGCAAGCTTTTGTCATTAAGTTGGCTGTAGTATAATTTTTTCCATGCAATTTGCTGGTCTATTCCAAAGCAATCATTGATGGGTGAGGGGAGGGACAGAAGAAAGCAGTGGTTTTTAAAGAAATTATTGAAGAAAGACTAGTTTTGCAGCAAATGATTGCATGACAGGAAAATGCACAGTAAGTTTTAAAATAATAATTAAAAAAATACAAAAGTTGAATATGTATTTCATTTCCTGACCAGTGTTTTAAATCACTTGGCTGTTTCTGGAAACACTGGAAGAATGGCTGTTGCAGATTGACCATGTTCCGAAAAGTTATACAGATGCCTGTTTAAACAAGGTCTTTACAGCAGTGTATTACAGCACAAAATAGTGAATTGAAGCCATTTACTTTTAAAAAGGAGAGACTTTGTACACTTTTAACTCAACCCATATGCTTAAAGAACATTATTTTAATTCTTAAGTGTTTGGTGGTGCCATTTGCCGAATGTATCGCTTCCCAACTACCGATGGAAACCACTTGAGAATCTTGGAACAGATGGCTGAGAGCATCCTCTCGTTGCACATCCCTAGGCAATTTGTGAAGCTTCTTCTAGAAGAAGATGCAGCAAGGTGAGTTTGGGGTGGTTTACATGTGCATTTACTCAAGCAGGGATATGGCTGTTACCGAGTCACCAAGGAATGTATCTGTGTTAATAGAGACGCTGAGCAAAATATAGTAAAAGCATCAGGTTGCTGACTGTGCAGTTACAGTGAGTGAGGTTTCTTGTTAGAGTATAGTGCTTGGGGTTGAGCATATGGTAACATGAATTGTTGGCATAGTGAACACTTAGGATCATACTGCAGTTATTTGCACTTAGGGGTTATCTCTTTCTCTCACTAAAGTATTGATAAAGCCACAGAATATATTATTCCCTAGCTGTGTGATTCTATTAGGAGCAGCACATTAGGTTACGTTATCTTTTTATGTATAATTATCTATGTATTTCAATATACTTCATAGTTTAAACATATTCTTAATATAAAGAGAAAAATTACGTTGAATTTAAAAAAAACCCAAAACATATCTCAATGTTTCATAGGCTGGGGAAAGTCTGAATAGCTAAGAGCATAAATGAAAGAGTAATAATTCCAGCTGCTGAGAATTTTGAGAAAGGAACAGAGACAGCACAGAAGCCAGCTGAGTAGAATGGGTAATTCAAGTAGCAGAGAGAGAAGAAAAATCAGAAGTCAGAAAAATTAGAATCACTCTGAAGGTGAATTTTTAAAAAGTCAGTTGACTTCTGTGCTATGAAAGGAGAGCAAGGATAGATTATATGAGTACTGACTGCACTCAGTGATTTAAGAGATGGCTTTGAGAGTCATAAGTGTAGCTTTGAATGGAAAACAAACAGAATAAAAGCAAGTAAAATTAGACACTGTAAGATAGTAATGACCTTTTCTTATTTTAGGAGGTGGGAGGGAGAAAAAAAATCTGTGTTTTTTAAAGTTAATTCTGAATTTGCTTCTGTTTTGAAGCAATTAACTCTCTTCAAGGCAACACACAAGTTTTACTTCCCTATATTTGTAGGCTGTTATTTGTGAACATAATGGTTTTTCATTCTTTCTAAAAGCCAAGACTGGGATGATAAAAGCATTTGAGCTGTATTTTTGAATACTGGGGTTTTATTTTGTCTGTGTTTGAATCTATTCCTAGAGACCTAACTAAGCCTTTCCATAAATTAAAACACAGGATAGCCACATGGGACTGAAACCTAGCAGTAAAGGGGCAGTGGGAAGGCCTGGGGTTTTCCTGTTCATATCTAGGAGTACCCAGTTATCCTTTATTCCACCTACAGTGATACTTGAGTGCCTGAAATCTGAAATCTTGGATTAAGGTTTTTCATCTTTTGTCTTTCTAAACCCTTAGGAATGCTTACCTTTCTTAAACCTTCCCTGTCTGGCCTTGAAAACTGTTGTGTAGATACATGGCCAGCACAGACACTCCTTGTATCCAATGTCAGATAGCTGCTCATCTCCTACCTAAACTCTGTCACAGTTCAGATTTCATTTGAGAGTTACCAAAGTCCAGTAGGGTAATCTAAAGAGGTCCTCATAGTCCCAAGTCACCTGGCATGGTGACAGAGCCTGTCATTCTTAAATCATCATGTAGTTTGTGAGCACCTGCAGAAAGGTGGGAAGCTTTGGTTTTGACCAACACCTGAGGCTCCTGGGAGAAACAGTGAACTCTGCTTGTGAGAAACCCATGTATAATGGAGTAGAGCTCAACAACTGTGCTTTGGGACATAGGTTTGGAAGCATTCCCAGTCTGGTGACTAGGTTAGACCAGAGAATGCACCAGCTGAGGATGGTGCTACAATGGTACAGTGTGTGACTTGATCTTGGTCAAGTGGTGGAGCTCAACACCTGTCTTTGTTGTTGTTTTTTTTCCCCAGGGTTTGTGAACTAGAAGAACTGGGGGAACTGTCTCCTTGTTGGGAAAGCCTTCGTCGACAAATAGTTACTCAGTACCAAACAATTATTTTAACCTATCAGGAAAATCTAACTGACCTGCATCAGTATAAAGGTGATTTTTTAATTTTTTTATATTTTTTTTTCATAATTATATGATACTTCTCAACTGTGATTTTTTTTGCCTTCGTCGACAAATAGTTACTCAGTACCAAACAATTATTTTAACCTATCAGGAAAATCTAACTGACCTGCATCAGTATAAAGGTGATTTTTTAATTTTATTTTTTTTTTTTCATAATTATATGATACTTCTCAACTGTGATTTTTTTTACTGCTTCTCTGAAGTTTGGAACACTGAATGTTTTTAGTTTGATGAGTAAAAAATACTGTTTTTAGATTTCTTAACTAACATTTATTATGAGGTTGCTGGTGATCTGGGAATATTTGCTTTATTCATTCTCTTATTTTACCCTGAAAGCAGAGAACAATTATAAACAGTAACAGAATGAAATATCTTCTTTTTTTTTCCCCTCTGCTTTACCTTCAGCGTGTAGCTAAGGATGAATGAAACTCCTTGAATATTTTAGCATAAACATAAGCTGAGGACATTTATGCTTACTTCTGTATTTCTCAGGTCCTTCATTTAAAGCCAGTAGCTTGAAAGCTGATAAAAAATTGGAATTTGTTCCTACGAATTTACATATACAGAGAATGAGAGTCCAGGATGATGGAGGATCAGGTATTTGTTTCTTTTCCTCTTTCTTCACCTTATTCTATTCCTTTTCTTTCAATTTCTATTTTTTTTTGTTTGTTTTTTTGTTGTTTCCATCCTCAACCATATAGCCAAGTTTCTACAAAATACCGCTCTGTCCTACTAATGCTACTTGGCATTTTTGTAGCACCTTCTATCCTTGGGTTCCAAATCTCTTTGCAAAAGAAGAGGTATAATTATCACTATTCTAAGGTGGCAAAACTAGGTTCTGCAGCCAATTGTACCCTAGGTGACACAAGCCTTTACACTAGGGAATATATTGGATTAGGCTGCTATGCCCCTTCCAGTAATTTTGGATTGCAGCAGAATAGCAAAGGTTCTTTCTGTTGTTTGTTGTTAAGCTTGTTCACTTTTTCTGTGGAACCATCATGTACAGTTATGCAGAATCACACCAGTTTGTTCACATCAAGCTTGTTTTTTTCATAAATAACCTAGGTTTTCTCTTCTTTAACAGTAATTCCCACTAACCATAAACACACACTTGTCCCATGTATCCGTGTGAGGAATTCCAGTAATGGCAGCATTTGTGTAAAGACCAGTGTTCAGGTCTTCTTTTCTGCTGTCAGTCTTCTGCATTCAAGTATGGTTCTTTCAACTCAGAAGTGCTTGATGGAATTCCAAGGCCTCTAAAATAATCCAGTTTTCCTTGTTCGTCAAAACACTAGCACAAATTTTTGCAAAAATTACTTTCAGATTATTTTTTTCTAGTTTCCACAACTGTTTGTCCAAAGTAAAGATGATAAGCTTTAATTTGTAAGTCCTTTTCGTCCATCCCAGATCAGAACTATGACATAGTCACCATTGGAGCACCAGCAGCTCATTGTCAAGGCTTTAAATCAGGTGGCTTGCGGAAAAAGCTGCATAAATTTGAAGAGGCAAAGAAGCAGTAAGTAGAAATGTTGTTGTGTCAGCTGTTACTGTGCCTTTTCCTCCTGGTCCATGCTCAGTGATTTGGAAAATCATTCCATTTTCTGTTTTTTGTTGCACTTCATTAAATCGTTCTACTATACAATGTGAAGATTGTTTCATGGGTTTCTTTTCAGAGAGGGAGAGGAAAAACAGTTTGCCTTTTATATTACCAGATCTGTTTGTTTAATGATGGGCCCTTTCTTGGATCTTTTAGTGAAATCTTTTCATTTTCCTGAATACTTGTTGGTTCATTTAGTTCCACTATTTTAGGTGTTGGGGTGTTGGGTTTGGACTCTGCCTAACTGTAGGTTAGAAAACAGGTCTGTAGGACCTCCTCATCTGCACTACATCATGTTTTCAACCCATTATTTTCAGGAGACTTTCACCCCTCCCATAGCTCCAGGGTCCTGTTGCTGAACTCTCTTTTGCATGGAACAGCTGGGACTGAGAGGCAAATTCCTTGTTGACAACTTGGGTTTAGTTCTGGGACTATTGCTGAAGTATTTTCTGTACTGCCTCAGAGTTTATACACTGATTAGCCTTCTGAATCTGGCCTCACTGTGCTCTGTAGGCAGGATACTTGACCTCCACAGTTCTGTCTAGTTACCTACCTGGAAGTGCAACCATATGTACTAGAGGAAGGGCCAGAAATTGGGAAAGTCACGTGTGCTAAAGGGAGAGACCTGCATGGCACACACTCTGTCTCCCAAGGAAGAGGCCATGCTCTCTAGATCTACATTACTTCTGCTGCAGTATGGAGAATTTAAGGAACAATATGTGTAGCAGGACAAGGAGTCATTGTAGCCAATGGAGAAGGCAAAGGAAAAGGAGACCTTGATAATGCCCTGCCAGGGAAAGGGTTTGTAGGATTTGGAGCTGATGGGAGGAGATGATAATGTGGGAACCAAGCTCTGCTAACTGCAGAATTAGTTTTGATAATGGAGAAGTGAATAGCAGCATCCTGTCAACATCAGTCAGATATGCACTGATAAAAAGATTGGTCAAAAATATGCCTGGTGTAATTATTCCTGATTTACAGAGGGCTCTAGGGTGGGACTAGAGGAGACTGTAAACCTGTAAACAGTAGTATGCCAGGGTTTTCCTTCCTGTTATTTTGATACCACTATTGCTCTCTGAAATAACCTCTTTCTGTCAGCTTTGCTACTGAAGTGGGCCTCACTCCTGCAATATCTAAATTCCCCTGTCTTTTGGTTTTGGTTTCTCTTTGGTGCGCCTTTTGTTTTGTCCCTCATCCAATAATGAAGCTGATCAGGGAGCTTTATTTCTGTCCAGTACTTTCCTCTAAACTTCACAGAACTGTTTCTGGGTCCCTGAAAAGTGCAGGTTCAACATTTGAAGAAAAGCTTTCCTTTCAAGTACTTCTATCTTATCATAAAAGCCAGTATAGTAGAACTGAGATTCATCTCCTCAGTTTCACTGCTGCATAGATACTGTTCAGTTCTTTTTCCTTTCATTGGCAAAACTGTGCTTGGTGCATTTCCCCAGAATAAACACATGGGCATCTGGCAACCTGTTCTTTTGCTTACAAGTTTAATTGTTATAAACATGCCTTGTTGAACAGATGACTCAAGTTATTACCCCTAACATCCTTTGTTTTGTTTTCTGCTTTTGGTATTTGCTAAAACTCTGCTAATTTTACTTTTGTTTTTTTTTTGGTTTTTTTAGCAGTTTTGAGGAGTGTTGGTGAGTTTTCTGTTTCTGAGAGTTCTGTAGAGAGGGTTTCTGTTCTTTGGGTTGTTGTCTTTTTCTTTCTTTTCTTTGGCAAGTATGTGGTATGTTTTAAAGTGTGCAGGGCTTTTTAATGTCATGCATCATGGCACCCCTAATTGTGCTCTATGTAATTGTAGCTGCTTTGTAGAACATGATGTGTGAATGAATTTCATTTAATCTGCAGTGTTTGTTTGTAATGAACAGCTAGCTTCCTGGCTCTCTCTGATCATGAGAATTTAGAAAACTGAAGATCAGAACCAAGAATTGTATATCTTTTCCTCAGTTATTTCCAGTGAAAACTGCCTGGAGAGAAAAATATTCTGCCAGAGGTGGAATATAATTAAGATCACTGCATATTTTTAAATCTCTGTGGTGGTGGATTTGACATGGTTTATATTTTTGTAGCCCATGTCGTCATTTAAACATTTTCACTTAACTTCTGTTCATTTTTCTTCATGTTGTGGTGTTCAGTGTTCTGAAAAGGAAACGCTACTTGATGGTTCGACAGTGCAGACATTGTGCTCTAAATTACTAATATGAGAGGTTGAACTTCTAATTCACTGAGAGTTTCAGGCTGTATTACAGTTTGTTGATACAGTACAAGAAGAGCTGTTCATTTGAAAAAAGCATTTGCAGGTTGGAAAGTAAACATATGTGAACTTTACACCATAACTTTTCCCCAAAATCATCCTAGCAAATGTTTGTGATTACAAATGTAATAATTTTAAGTAAGATCTCAATATGCTGCATGGCCTTTCCTGCCAACTATGTCTTTCTGCATGGTAACCACACTGTTGTGGAAAGAAATTGCTCAGAGGAATTGTCACTAAGATCATCTGTCAGTAGAAGGCACCACTCCTGTACAGGTGAAGCCCTAAAAGCTGGGGTTAATTTGCTGGGTGGCTTAGCAGTACTGGGGAGTGGTTCTTCTCTGCTCCACTCAGGTGGGTGACCTGAAGGACACAAGGGAACTCTTCCAAGAATCACTTCTGCATTATATTGATTGAAAACAAATTCCTCAGTCTTCTCTTGTAGAGGAGCTCAGACAAATACTGGGATTAAGCTCCTCCCTTTTCTTAATACAATTTAAAGGAAAAGAGCTGGTATTTATGGCAATGATTTTAAAGTGTGCCACACGCAACCCTCCTGTCTTACCTCACAGACACACTGCAGCAATTAACAGCATTGCTCTAGGGGTGGCAGAGGAATTCACACTCCTCAGAGGGTGGGACCTGAGGTAGCTGTGCCTGGAAAAGAAAATCCTCTCTGTGTGGAGTCTCAGCGTAGGCTCCATTGAAGAATGCTGAGCTTGGTGCAAATAGTTGGTTCTTCTGTGCTGTTATTATGCTGAAGCAAATAATGACTGGAAAAAAAGAATAAAATTAAAATAATATACAGTTGGTGTCACCTCATGCTTGATGCCACGTTGTGCATCATGCTTGTGGTTTATTTTTATTATATTTTATTATAATATGTAATGTTATGTATTACATTTACAACAGCTGGAGCTGTTCTAAAGGCCTGACTTTGTATGGTTTTTCTAGTGGGTGGAAGAAAACAGCATCTTGCCTGGCAAAGGGAATAGTGGTGGGTTGATTCCAAGTAGTTAACTAAGAGCACAACTTCAGCTTGAAGTAATTTCCTAAGCTAAAAGGCAGCTTCTGTGAATGACTCTTCTGAAGTAGATTTAAATGACCCTTTAGTAGTGCAATTCTCTCTCCAGCAGTTACAGGGGGAGTCCAAGCATCTGTTTTACCCTGGGTAAGCAACTTCTCTAGACATCTAACCTTAGAGGATGTGAACCTTTCCC